TCCCAGCGCAGTGGTCTAAGCTCCCCGGACTGGAGCAGGCATCGGACTTCCTCCTCAGCTTTCTGGGATCTTGAGGCCGCTGGCGGAGTCTTGGCCCTCGCCGCAGTTTCCCCCTGAGACTCTGCCAAGCCCTGGCACCTTGAAGCCCGGGCCTCGGCTCGGATTCAGAAGCCGGCCCAGCACTTCCCCGCTGCCGCCGCTCCAGGCGCGGCCGCCGGGCCCCCCTCCCCGCCCGAGCGAAGGGCCTGCCCTCACCCGTGACCTCCGCGGCGGACTCCGAGGCGCGCCAGGTCCGGTCCCGCGCCCGCTGCCCGCCAGGCCCGGACGAGCAGGGGGCCGGTGAGCAGAGGGGCCGCGCCCTGGCCGTCGCGCCGGCGCGGGGAGCCCGGGAGCAGGAGCGCGCGGGCCGGAGCGCGTAGGTGTGAGAATGTGTGAGGGGCATGGTCGGTGGACGTGTGCGGGGCTGTGAGGCGCTGTGCGCCCGCCCCCCCCGGGACGTGGGCTTACCGAGCCGCTGCGTGCACGGCTGGGAGCGGGTCTCGGACGGAGGTGTGTGCGGGCGCCCGCGGCCTGGGGCTCGGCGGAGGGCGGCTGTCTGCCAGTGGGCCCCGGCCCGACCAGGCCCGGCCGCGCCGCGCCCCAGTATGCGGGCCGCGCCGCAGCTCCGGGCGTGCCGTCCTGGTTGTCGAGTCTCGGTGTGAGCCGCGCGGCCCGGCCCGGCCGCTCTCTCTCTTCCCGCCCCTCTAATCTAAACCATGCGGGGCTCCCAGCCCGGGCCCGGCCGGCGGGGCCCAAGGGCCGCAGGAAGGGTACCAAGCCGCGCGTTGGGGGAGCGCGAGGCCCTCTCGGGGCTCGGGGTCCTGGGGTCGCGGAGCCAGGGGACCCTAGAGCCCCCCTCTCCGGGGGGCGGCGGGCGCAGACTGATTGACAGCGGCGACGTCAGCGCAGGGGGGTGGTGGCCCCGGAGGGAGGGAGGAAGGGAGGGAGGAGGGAGCTGAGGCCCCAAAGTGCAGCGTCGGAGATCAAGGGCCCGCTCCAGAGCCGGGATGTGTCCGGCCCCGAGGGCGCGGCGGGCAGCGGGACACTGACCCAGCGGCCCCGAGTCGGTGCCCCAGCCGTCCCGTGCCCCTCGCACCCGAGCCTGGTGGACCTCGGGCCTCAGGCGCCTCCGCATGCGGCAGCGCAGTTAGGGTGAGTGTGGGTTCCGGCGGGGTTGCGGGGGTGAGCCGGGCGTGCGGGACAGGGGCCACCCTGAGCCCAGGGTTAGGCTGCAGGGCAGAGGAGGATGAACTGGAAAAGAGGCGAGTAACGGAACCGGGGTAAGAACTTCAGGGACCCGCAAGGCTGCAGGAGGGTGGCGAGATGTGCTTCAGATCAGGCTGCCGCCTCGGCCCGACTCCCAGTGTTCTGGGGCAGGAGCCCTCATCTCCTCTGAATAACAGGATGAATTGGGTCTGCAGACCCAAAGGCAAAGAAACGACAGCGCCAGCGCCAAAGGAACAAGGTTAAGCCGTGACAAGCGGAGCGGTGGTCTTGAAACTGGTGTTTGCAGAATAAGAAAGGCCAAGAAGAGGGCCCGGGTACTTGCAGCGATATCGATGTAGGAGTGTGTGATCAGAAACCTGGACTTCAGAGCCTTTGATGCAACAGGCTTGTCAAAATTAAAGCAAGGAGCATTATATATAAATAATTATCGATGATCAAGAATTATCAGAATGTGAGCAATTACCAAAGAAACAGGGCTAAGCGGCAAAACTAACAGCGCTCACACTTTAAAACAAGAGTAAAATAGTGGTCACTGTCAGAACCAAGTGAAAATTGTAATCACAGATTTAAAAGGATCATAGGCAAAGTAACTCCAAATATAGGAACAATGTGATAAGAACCCCTGTATTAAAATCAATAATAATAGTATAGGAAATAGTAACAAATGACAAAACCGTAGGAAAAAGGTGAACAATTGAAATACTATTAAGGGAAATACTAATATTAGTAGTAGTGATGGAATACTATCATATAATTTAATATTGATACTATAATGAATTATTAAATAATAACCAAAATCTTTAGAGCAATACTAATACAAACAAAGACAGCAACAAGAATTGCTGGAATAATATGACAATTTATTACCAAGGTATTAATAGTCCCAACAACATTATAAATAATGGTGGAGTTATAAGAAGTATCGTACCAATGTGATGAAAAATAATCAGAGTATTAGGAACTACAGCAATATCACAAATTATGACAAAGTAACAAGGAGTAATGATGTGATGAAAAATAGCCAGCGAATTAAGATCGTAATTACAAATAATGACAAAGTAACAAGATATTGTAACGATGTGATGAAGAATACCTGGAATATTGTGGACAATTCGAACAAATGACAAAATAACAAGAAGTATTATAAGGATGTGAAGAAAATTAACATCAATATTGAGAATAATATTACAAGTAATATTTCAATATTTCAATAACAAGTTATTGAAACTGTGACAAAATACAGAGACCGAGGAGGCAGCAATGGAAGCATTTTAGGGGTACAGAATAAAAATTAAAATAACAAGAGATTACAATGACCTATTGGAATACGATATCTAACAATTACCTGACTATTAGTAACAGTATCACTAAGGTACCAGGAGGCCCTAGAATGAGGGAGCAGTGGCAGGAAAGCAACAACATATTTAATAATGATGAATTAAATCAAACCAGTACTTTAATTTTACAGTATTAAAAATTAAAAGTACTAATAATTTATGTGCTAGGATATCCTTAATGTCATTGAACTGAACAGAATACTGCTCTGATAATAGAGATAATTAAAATATTTAAAGTAATACAAAATGTTAATTTCCCCCAGTGCGAGAAAAATATCACCAGTAATCTAGAGTGAAAAGTAAAATGCCCTTCTTAGAAAACGAGTTGGCTGAAAGCGACGGACCGAGCGAAAGGGCGCCCAGCCGGCTGGCCGCGTCCATGGAGGGGTCCGCGAGAGGGGCGAGCGCGGAGGCTGCGGGCCGCGCGGGCGGCGGGCTCCGGCCGGTGCGGAACCCGGCTGTGCCGTTTGTGCCGGGGCTCCGGGTCCGAGGGTAACCATGGGGGCGGCCACTCTGGGCCAGCCGGGAGGGAAGAAAAGGAAATTAGCGGGGAGTTCCAGCCAGGTTGAGGGCCAGCTGTCTCGATGTCGCGGGCCGAGAGAAAAGGAAGAAATGAAGGAGAGCACCACGCTGCCCTCGTCCGGGATCGGAGCCGTGGGACTGGCATTTGTGGATGCCGGCCGTGGCCGTGCTCCGTGCACAGGACTGAGAGCGCCGGGCGTGAGTCTAGACGGCGGCCCTGCCTGGCTCCTGGTGTGACAAGTGCCCCGTAGAGGACCCAGTGGCCAAGACAGCATTGCGCCAGGCGGCGTGTCCTCCCGGCCCCGTGCTCCGCCGCACCTGGGACCAGCCGATCGCGGGGGCCCATCCCGCTGGCCTCAGATACAGTTGGAACCAGCGTGTTGGGCCAGAGCATGCAACTCCCCTCGTCGAGCAGTGTCCCCTTGGCTGGGGTCTCCGGGTTTCCTAGGCCTGGCTCGGAACCCGCACGTGGCCCAAGGTGGGTACTGGCGCTAGCCATGCCGGGCAAGACTTGTTTCCTGCTGCCTGTGGCTGGAGGCCTGGGAGGGCTGTCAGCTTTATCTTTATGGGCTTTTCCCAGCCCCAACTCGCCCAGGCCCCTTTTTATCTCTCTCAGTTGCACTTGGCTTGTTTACTTTGTGAGGCCCTGGGAGCCAATGTCTAGGACCTGGGATGGGGAGGCCAGTGGGCAGGATGGTCAGAGGCCTGGGCCTTGGGATGCTCAGGGAGACCCAGGAGAGAACAGAAATAAGACAGGAAGAGACGCAGCCAGGCACATAGAAAGACCCACCAGATGCAAAAGAAGGGAGAAGAGCAGGGAGGTGGAAAGGAGAAGCAGAGATAATGTAGGGGTGCATCCATGATGGAAGCAGGAAAGGCAGGTCCTGCTGCCTGGGCTCTCGGCCTGATATCTCAGGACCAACTTCTAGAAGGGAGCAGGCACTTGGGGCAGGCTGGTGAATAGTTCTAGACATGTGGGGAAGCATGACTGTGCCTGAGAGCAGGACTAGGTTGTGCCTGTGACCTGGACCCACCCAACAGGCCTGGTCCTTAGCTGGGAAGGGTCTCAGTCCTTTGCCCCAAAGCAGAGCCCTTTGGAGCTAAAGTGTGACTGAGTGAGCCAGCGAATGTGAATGTGTGGGCAAGGCTGTGAGGCCCCTGGCTGAGTTCAAGGCCTGAATCAGAGCTGCCCTAGGAGAGTGTGGCTGCTTGAGTGACTAGAAAGCTCTGTGTGGGTGCTTGTGTCTGGGTGTGAGGCTGTGTGTGCCTGTGTGAGGGACCCACAAGGTGTCTGTGGGAGTGGGAATGTGCAGGAGTGAAAGCCTTTGGTTCAGGAAGGCTTTACCTGACTGCTGTCTAAGGGAGTGGGTTAGGGCAGATGGGTGAGCAGGGGCCTGAGGGACTGCCCAGCCCTAGGCTCTTTCTGCAGGTGTGGAGCCCCAGGAGCCTGGGCCCTGCCCTTCTGGCCCGGCTGTCCTCTGGTGCTTACCCAGGAAGTGTCCTGGCTGCCCTGACCCAAGAGTGAGCCTGGACCCCAGTTATTAGGAAACAGCGAAAAGAGACCCAGGCCTCAGGCTCCACTGGAGCCGAGCAGGAGGGAGGGACTGGGGGTGCAGCTGGGGCAATGCCGAGAGGGCGGTCCTTCCCCCAGACCTGCTCATCACACAGCCCCACACCCAGGAGCAGGCAGACCTTGAACCGCACACCGACCCTCCCAGGTCCAGAACCTAGAGGGAGGAGGCCACGGTCCTACCCTCCGCGTTTTCTCCCTCCGGCAGCTCAGAAGGGGGCGGTGTCCACGTGCGCCTTTCCCTCCCGGGCCCGAAGTCCCCCGGCCGGGGTGGAGCGGGCTGCCGGGCCTCTGGCGAGTGTGGACCCGGGCATGTGACTCGGTGTGTGCTGTGCCCGCAGGAGATGCTGCAGGATAAGGGCCTGTCGGAGAGCGAGGAGGCCTTCCGGGCCCCGGGCTCGGCGCTCGGCGAGGCCAGCGCTTCCAACGCCGCCAACGCCCCCGAGCCCGCGCTGGCTGCGCCGGGCCTCAGCGGAGCCGCGCTCGGCAGCCCCCCGGGCCCCGGCGCCGACGCCGCCGCCGCTGCCGCCGCCGCCGCGGAGCAGGTAGGGCCCGCTGGCCGTCGGGCAGAGGTCGGGCGTCGGTCTGTCTGCAGGGCCGCCTGCGTCTGCCAGTCTGCCCCAAAGACGACAGGACTCGCTCCCGGGGGACCTGACTGCGTCCCAGACTGCGTGTTCTGCTCCGTGGGGCAGGGCTCGCGCTCTCTGCCTTGCGGCCCTCTTCGGCTTCGCGCCCTCGGGGATACTCTGGGACAGGCGGGGGAGGGCACCCTTGTGGCAGCGGGGCGAGCCCGGGCCAAGTGTCCAGCTCCGACGACGCCGAGAGGGTGGGGGTCGGGGGGCGAAAGCCTGGCACCGGGAGGGAAGAACGGATCTCAGCCGGGTGTGAGCGGGGAGCGGCCGCGGGGACGTCTCTCAGAGTGTCACAGTGATAACCTGATCGCAGTGAAAGGAATCCGTCTGTGCACGCCCTCGGCCGGCATGGGTCTGCGTAGCGTCTGCGGGTGCGCGTGTCCCTTCTGTGTCTGTGTATCTGTCCGAAAGCCTGTGGCTACCTCCCGCCACGTGGAGTATTTATGTTTGTGTAGTGTGTCATCTACCCTGTCGCGGTCAGGATGTGTCCTTTGCGTACCACAATAGGTGCAACTCCGAGGAGTGGGTTTCAGCTACTGATTACATTTTGAAAAATTTACCAGTGGTACGGTATAATTTTATGAAACGAAACCTTCAGACATGAGGTCCTGGGGCTGGCAGCACTCTGCATAGTTCCTTGGGTCCTGAGGGCTCCGCGTGGAGCCGTGGCCCAGGCCGACAAAAGTCCCCTTCCCTCTCATCCCTAGACCATCGAGAACATCAAGGTGGGCCTGCACGAGAAGGAGCTCTGGAAGAAGTTCCACGAGGCAGGCACTGAGATGATCATCACCAAGGCGGGCAGGTCAGCGCTGGGACGTTTACTTGGGGGATGGAAGGTGACTGGTGGGAGCGATGGGGATCCCCCTGGACGCTCTGGCCTTAGCCCCGCGTCCTACCAGGGTTTGCGACTGGGCGCAGAACTTCACCAGCGGAATCCTCCTCTAGGAAGCCCAGCAGGCGGAAGGATGGGAGGGGCAGCACTATGCAAATAAAATGCAAATAAGGATCAGGACATCGGAGGTCCCAGTTCCAGCACTATCTTGCTTTGTCCTCCTCCTTTTGGGGACCTGCCTGGTTTCTCAGGATTGCATTGATTGGGGACCCGGAGATGGCCTTCAACAGTTGGAGGGAGGGGACCTGTGTTTTCCTATTTCCATAACTTTTCCAGGGCAGCGGGCACCCAGATCTCTCAACCCAGGGGTGCTGCTCCTCTATTGACAGCATCCCCCCTCAGCCAAGGGAAAGGGCCCTGTGTGTGTTGTTTAGGGAGCAGCTCTCGGGTGGCTGCCAGAATAATGATTTATAAAGTGGAAACATCTTTAAAATGCACTGGTGTCTGTGAGAGAGAGCCTGGAGGAAAGCGTGAGAGGAGGAAGATGCAGCCGGGGCAAGATGAGAGAGAGAGAGAGAAGAGAGAGGAGAGAGATTCAACGGGGCCGGGCGTCTTGGGCGGGCAGGGAAGGAAGGGCTAGGCCAGCAGTTATCAGTGAAGGGGGATTGCTGCAGACAGTGAAGCTGGAAAGTTCAGGTGTAGAAACTACCCCTTCTCCACTTACTCACATTTGATTTTGGTCCCTGAGGGGAACAGGGAAGGTGTGAAAATGTGCCGTTGTCTGGCCGTGGGCCCATGATTGGGTTTTCCAAGGAATAAGGTGGTGAAGCCTTAAGGGCCAGGGATGGGGAGTCAGACCTCAGCTGCTTGCCTCTGTGCAACCCTCAGGCTAGGTGCTGCAGGGTCTCTGCCCTCTTCTCGTCCGCCTCTGCAAAACCATACATACAGTTGTATGCAAAGCACTTAGCACAGCTCTGGCACATGTAAGCGTGCCATAAATGCTAGCTAAAATTAATCGTAATTAGAGAAATGTCTGGCAACCGCTCAGCATTTTTCTTCTACTTTTTTTTTAAAGAACTCTGCCGAACGGTGCGCTGTTCAAAAGAAATAAAAAACTGGTAGTTTGCAGTGTGTAGTGGAGTAGTCCTGTGGTCCCTCGTGTCCTTTCCCTGGCAGGACTTGCAAGGTTTCCTCTGTTTTGTTGGGAGTAAAGTCTGGCCACTTGGCCACCCTGCCCTGGTAGGTGGCAAGGCCACCTGGAGCCTCTATCAGGAGAAGAAGCAGGGGGATATCAGGGCCTGAATTTGCTGCATTTGGGAGATGGGGAAGGAGGATGCATGAAGGGAACCTGGGAGAGGGTGCTACTTAGAATAGTCCTTGAGGACAGTGGGGAGCCAGGTGTCACAAGCCTTGCCTCTTCCTAGCTGAGGGCACTCGGGCACGTCTCTAAGCTTCCTGTGGCTCAGTGGTGTTGGCTAAAACAGAGCTGGTGACTGTAGACTTACCTGCCATCCTTCCTTTCTCCGTCGCTGTGAGACTCAAACCAGGGGTCCTGTGAGCTACGTATGGTAAATTGTTGAGTGGATTATAGGTGCGAAGAAGGGGAATTTATTTCTGGTGACTGCCGGGGTGGAGGGAAGGAAGGAAGAAAGAGAAAGATCCAGAATTCCCTTTTTAGGCAGCAGAAATAACCTTGTCTTTTGAAAATAAATGATCATCATGTTCTTGGGGCAAGCCTGGCCTCTGGCATTTAAAACAAAAGGCATTTGTGATTCTCCTCAGTGGGGTTTCCTGCATCTGCAAGGGTCCTCCTCCTTCCCTGCCCCCAACACAGACACACACACACACACACACACACACACTTCCACAGGTGACCAACATCAGGCAGATGTTTGTGCCCAATTCCTAGTGAAGGCTTAGAGATGGGCCTCAGGGAATGATGATAATAATTTTTAAACGGCTGTGATGAAGTTGGCCAATTATGGTTTGATCACACTCTTTCATTTCTCTGGCGGAAAGTTATTCATGCAACAGGTCTAGTCCTAAAGAAAGTCACTAGCCTCATCGCCCCTCCCCACTGTTCTCACAGACCCTCTTTCCTCCTGCATAGCTGCTCCCTGACCTCAGAGACCAAATTCAGGGTTCTGATCCCCGTGGCCCCCTCCCCCTTCACTGTCTCCCTCTCCTGGGCAGCCTCAGGAGGTAGCTTGCTTTGCCTGGGCTCGGTTGCTCTTCAACATCCTGTGGACTCCCACTTTTCTTTGTGTCTCTACCAGCACCCTTCTTGGGACACCTGCATTTCTTAGCAGATGGCCTGGACCCTTCTCCTGAACCTTGAATCACAGATTCCTAGACTGCTTGAGCTGGAGGAGAACCAGGGGAACATAAACCTGACCCCAGAAAAGGGAAGGCACTTGGCTCTTATAGATAGAAGCAAGATTAGGCAGTTCCTGGGTCTACACAAGCCAAGCTGATGATACTCCACCCCCAGAACAAAACCCCAACTTTGAGAAATTCCCCTTATGGCTTATTTACAAAGCCATTCGATGTGGGGTTGTTGCTCTACCCTAGGGACCCTGGCTGGTTAGGGGCACGGTCGTTGCTGTCTGGTTGAGGGAGAGGCAGGCCCTGGAAAAGGGGAACCCAGAATGTTCTCAAGCTAGTTTGAGTTTTTGGTCACAAGCCTCTTGCCTGAAGCCCTGAAGTTCTTAAGGCCAAGGAGAGAATAATCTCCTTCATTGGATAGTGGCTTTGGATTCTCAAACCATTCCATCTGGGGAATAAAATGCCAATCACATCAGGAGACATCAATTTCTGAATGCTCAGTAACCCCTGATGTCAGGTGTAAAATGGGGCCAGAATCCTCCCAGCCAGTTTCTGTCCCTCTCAGTCTCCTGCACTCACAAGTTTTAAGCCATTCACTGCATTGAGCAGACCCCTCCTGTCCCTACCTCCTTCACATCCCTGCCAAGCTTGAAACATGTGAGAAACTGCATTTTCTCCCAAACATAGATAAAAGTGAGCTCCACAAAAATTTAAATATAAACCTCCCCAAAATGAAAATTTCCTAACCGTTTGACTGCTCTCCTCCTAGGTCATGGTTTTGCCACCAGATAAATCTCCACTATCAGCCTTCATAGCCTGTTGAGTTCAATGTTGCTTGTGTTAGTGACAGTGAATTTGCGTTTGAAAAATGAACTACCGATGAGAACTCCTGTTGAACCTGTATTGTTTGTTATTCTGAGGCAAGGATTTGGCCCAGCTTAATCCGGGGCTTCAAAGCCAATTGCCCTCGCTCTGTATACAGAGCGTCAGAACCCAGTGGCGTGGGTGATAAGACAAGTAAGGGTTGAAGACACTGGGAAAGTGGGTTGGAGAGAGAGTCCTTTGATCTCTTTCTAAAGTATTTTCTGAAAGCAAAAGTCTATCAAGGAAGTGTCTTTAAAAAAGAATCTGAGAAGCAACTGATCTTCCAAAACAGCATTCATTCCACACACCCTCACTCCTGCCCCCCACCTCAGGGAAAATATTTCTTAAAAATGCTTTGAGTGAATTAGAAAACTCTGTGTGTGTGTGTGTGTGTGTGTTTGTGTGGACACACACACATATGATATATACACGGGTATAATTTTCAATGTCCGTTTTATTGAAGTGGAACATTCCTGCAGAAAAATGAACAAATCTTAATTGTACAGCTCTATAGACTTTCACAAAAGGAGTACCCCCAATCATGGCACCACCCAGATAAAGAAACAGAAGAGAATCCTCTTGTGTGCCTTCCCACCCCTCACCACTCCCCGCCCCCCCCTCGAAGCCCCTCTCCGGACTTCTCACCCCTTGGATTTGGTTTTGTGCCTACGTTTAAGGGAAGGCACATCTAGATGCTCCTGGGGTTTCCGGGGCCCCAGAGAAAGTCGGGTGCCTTCGGGTTTGGGGTTTGGTGTCCTGGCTAGGTGGAGAGAATCTGGCTGGTCTCCTAGGTCCGGCTTACTCCCTGCACCCCCTTCTGGATTGGTGAGGGGCTCGCGTAGGTCAAGGTCAGGAATTTGGCTAGGGCTTAGGCCGGGGAGCCAGGAGCCCCCCGCGGCTGTCTGAGCCCAGCTGAACTTGCACGTCCCCCCTCAGCAGCGAGCGAGCATTAGAGGGGCTGTTGCCAAGATCACAATGCCCCGAATCCCTTGCCCCGCGCCCCGCAAGCCTCCCACGCCGAGAAACGTCCAAGGAAGCTTATCTTAGCAGTTCATTCTAAAACCATTTCCGAGTATGAAGTAGATAAAGGCTCCAGCCCGCACCCTTTCAGAGCCTGTTTCATGATCAGAGGAGAAACCTCCGGCTTTCATCTCCTCCCGGGCGGCGGGGCGGGCGGCTTGTTTATTCCCCGGCGGAGCCGTTTCCGCGGGCGCCCGGAGCGCCCCTCTGCCTGCGGGCCCGGAGCCCCGAGGGGGCGCCAGGGACGCAGACGGGAGGCCCGCGGGGCGCAGGGAGAGAGTGGGGGAGAGGGCTCGACGGCGCGGGACTGGGGGTGGGGGGGCCGCGGGGTGTCCGGGACAGGCGAGCCCGGGATTCCTGGCCGGCGCCCGTGGCAGGGCAGAGTGGGAGCCAGGCGGCTCAGAGCACTAACCTCTCTTCCTGGCCCTCCCTCCCCGACCCGATAAGCTGTTCATTTCCCCCACAGTGGTGGTTTCCAGGTACATTTACGTCCTGAGTCACAGAAACAATTTACATCGCACCCCCTCCTGCCATCGGTTTCAGGAGAGAGGGCCTTCACAGTATAGGGGAGCCCCGAGGAGGTCACAGTTCCTAGACCCAGCCTGCCGTGGCAGGAGTCGTGCTTACCCGGGAACGCTCCCTTGCTGGGCCTCTGGGCTCCAGCTTTAGCCCCCTCTGGAACCAAGGGCAGATGCCTTCAGCAGGGAGGGGAAGCTTACAGGCTGCGTGGACCGTGTGCTTCTTCTGCACACGCAGCCTTTTCCCCACCCGGGTGTGCCCTGCATTCTACTGGAGCCCCGCAGGTGGGGAAATGATAGGGTCCCCAAGGCTCGCGTTCTCAGAAACAGTCACCAAACTGGACCCCTGACAGATAGGGAGATACCTATTCCAGCGAAAGCAGTGGCGCTCCCTGAGCCTGAGTAGTTCAGCCTGGAGCAGTGGACTCTTGAACTCCTGGCTCAGACCAGCTGTCCCATCCCCGGTCCCTGCCCCTCAGGGCTGCAGCCCTGGGAAGAGGGGAATTGGTAGGCAGGGGAGGCAGAGGCTGGGGGATACCTTCCTTCCCTGTGCCAGTTCCTGGCAAAACCTTCCTGAGGGTATTTTCCATCAGGAATCCGGTCTGTGGTCAGCTTCTAGGAGAAGCCAAATCACAGGACCCCAGTTCCGTGCCTTGGGGAGCCGAGCACAGGCTGCTTATAGGCCTTCTAGAAAGCATCTAGCCCATGTCAGCCTGGCCTCCTGAGCTGCTGAGACAAAGCGTAGTAGGGAGTAGGAGAAGGGGAAGGGCAGGGTCCTTGACCCTCCTCTCGGCCCAGGTTAGGGAGACTACTCCAGTGGCAGGGAGCCATTTTCTCCTGGCCCCCTCTGTAGATACTGTCCTGGGGGGTGGCCATATCTGCCCTCTGCCATTGCTACCTGGAGTGATTATAGGACAAACAGGCTAAGAACAGGGCACTGGTGCCAGGTCAGCCCAAACACAGCCAGGACTGCCCCATCTTGTGGCAGTTTCTGTAGCGGTTACAAAATGGTGGTTTGGAGGGGACAGGATTCTTGGCCTTCCCCCAGGGAGGAGGGGAGGTGAGGCAGCTGCTGCCCTCCCCGCTTCAGCTTTAGGCCTATCAGGGAAGAGGCTGGGCCTGGAAAGAGGGTGGTGCAGGCTCCAGCTGTGCCCCCAGGCCGGGCAGGGGCTGGTAAGCAGGCAGGACCAGGTTCCTGAGCCCTCTCACTTCCCCCATTCCTGGAGAGGGGGTGGGGTGGACATTTGAAAATGCTTTCAATTGACATCTGAGACAAATTCTTCCACACGGTTTATAAGTCCCTAGACTTGCAGCTAGAACTTCCCTCCTCCCTCCAGGCAGGCACACGTGCACACATGCGCACTCCATTGTGTACTCAAGTACATGTGCTCGTGCATACACAGGCCGCACACCTCCCACGTCCCTGGCCCACTGCAGTGCTCTCATGGGCCCTTCCTCCCGCAAGAGAGAGGGCAAGCAGACTGGGGCTGGGCCAGGGGTAGAACTGAACCTCCCACCTCAGGGTCCTGGCCGGGGCTTGCTGTAGGGTCTGCCGGCTTGTGGAGGCCTTGAACCCTTCTGGAAGCCCTTTCCTGTCCAGGTAAGCTGGAAACCCCTGTTGACAGAATGGGGGGCTGCAATCATCTGTTTGAGGTGTCTAGGACAGCTTCCCTTGAGGTTCTCTCTGCTTAATGAGGAGGCAGAGGACCACTTGATGGCTTTCCTTGAGGGGACAGTTTGGGCACTGTCCCAGCTCAGGGGATTTGGTTCCTGATGCCCTAGAGTCTTCAGTTAGGTTTGGATCCTGCCTCTCTCTTGGGGGAAACACCTTTGTGGGAGATCAGCTAGGAGAGGGTGGGGGTGTCTGAGAGGATTGTGAGGAAGGTCTGTCTGCCCCTCTGCGGAGGTCCAGTGTCAGGGACCTGGTGACCAGGGGGCAGAGCTGTGCCCCTGCAGGTGTGTGTACATGCTGTTGTTCATGTGTGTGTGCTGGGGGGTCTGGGGAAGTCTTTCTCTAGAATATTCACTGAGCCTCAGGGTCCTGGATGGTCTTAGCATGGGCTGTGGAAACTGGAAAACTTCCTGTTTTTTGGTGAGTCCATTTTCACAGAGGTTGGTCACCCACTGGTTTGTGGAGGGAGGAGTGCAGTGAGGGCCAGCGGCAAGAGTCACAAATGGACGCAGTGAATCCAGTGAATCCCACACCAACCTATGAGATAGGTGGTAATATGCCCATTTTAGAGATAAGGAAACCAAGGCACAGAGAGATCCAAGCAAGTTGCCCAACGCCTCACAACTTGTCAGTGGTGTGGCCCAGGCACAGTGGTCCTAGAATCTTTTCTCCATGAGGCTCCTGAGCTGGCTTCCCCTGGTCCCTGGTGAGTGTGCACAGGCCCAGGCGAGGTCTTCACACAGTTAAACACTTCTGCTAAACACCCCAAAGGAATCCAAAGACTTAGCAGCGCTCTCCTGTTTTCCTCTCAGTTGGTTTGAGGCCTGAGGGCTTCCACAGAGGCAAGGCCCAGAGGAGACACTCTATTGATGACAGAAGCAGCTGACAGGGACTTCGAGGTCTTTTGCTCTGGCCCCTGTTAATGGCAGCCCAGAACTTTAGTTGCATGTGGACTGGTAAAGGGCAGGAGGGAAATCAAGCAGCCAGGTTGCTGTTGAAATCCTCTCTCATGACCCCGAGGGTTTCTATGCTTTAGCTGCTCACAGCCAGTAGGCCTAAATATTAGGGGATCGTGGGGAAGAGGGAATTGCACTGGGGAAGCCAGGTAAGCCCTCTTCCTAGACACAGCTCCTGGGGCTCAGAGCAACTGGTGTGGCCCTTCCCTTGTGTAGGGGGAGGCTGAGGCCAGAGAGGGAAGGGCCTTACCCAGCTCACACAGTTCTGATCAGGGGCCAGTGTCTCTTAAGGCCTTCTGTCCCCTCACCCCTGTGTGCCATCTCTTCCGGTGCTCTGTGTATGCCTCTGCCTCACACCTTGGCTCCCCCCAGGAGGATGTTCCCCAGCTACAAGGTAAAAGTCACAGGCATGAACCCCAAGACCAAATATATCCTGCTGATTGACATCGTCCCTGCGGATGACCACCGCTACAAATTCTGTGACAACAAATGGTAAGAACCTGGGGCCCTCACATCCCCTGTCTTCTCTCACCACACTCACCCCACCACCTGGTGTTTGGTCCAGGGACTCACCAGTTGGTTCCAGTGATTGCCCAGACGTGCAGCATTGGGAACTGAGCCTGCAGGGGCTGCAGGGTCGGCAAATGTCTGCCCACCTGCTGCAGACGGGGCTGGGGCTGGAAATGAGCTGCAGTGTTTGAGTGTTTGGTGGCTTTCAAGAGTCTGTTCTCTCCCTACAGCTGTGGACAGACAGGATTGGTGACTATGCTGTGGGGTGACAGATGGACAGCAACACTGGATGAATATAGGCTCTGGTCGGGCCGCACTGGGGAGGAGGGTGGGAGCTGTTTTCTTGGGGGACTTTGATATTGGATGGTTAGCACCCAGGGACCTGGTCTGTGGCATCTTCTGCTGCTTTTCCACTTGCTCCTTGTCTGGCTGTGAGCCCTTCCTTTAAGCTGTCGATCCACAGTGAAGGGCAGCCGCCTGGTGGTTGGATGACAGGATGCCTTGGCAAGGGGTTGGGGGAAACAAGTGGGTTGTAGGGCAAAACAGGGGCCAGGCAAATAAACACTGGGCTGCTTTTCCTAAGGCCACCTCTTCCGTACCCTGTCTGTCCCCAGAGCCCAGGACAGTGCTCAAGGAGAGAGAGGGATTGAATGAATTAGCAGCCGGCTGGAATGTGGGCTCCACAGTGGGTTGGTAGTAGGGTCAGCAGAGACTGGGCTGAGAAGGCAGGATTCAGTGGCCAGGTCCTGTCAAGGGCCATGTTTCTATTTCTTCTCTCTTCGGGTTGGATTATCATTCAAAGCAGGCTCTGGCTGAGGGTAGAGTTACCAAGTAATTTCTTTGGGGAAAGAATATCCCCAATATACCAAGCACTATATTGGGGACAAGTAATTTGAAAGTTGTCTAGGTCCTCTGAGAAGCTCCCTCCAAATAATATAATTTATAACATTTTAAAATTGAAACTATAACAGGTACACAGAAGTGCCTAAATCTCCACACAATATACTTGTGATTAGCTCCATTTTTGAAGTAAATAATCACATCTGTCTGTAACTTCCCTTTCTCTTTCTACTGCAAATAAAAGAGATTCAGAATCGCTGCCCCTCCTCAGCACACTCTCCTCTGACCTCACTCCCCCTCATAATGCCCTACATTGAGAGTATAGGATGAGCATTGATTTTTTTTTTTCCCCTCTCAGGTTTATGGGGATTTGCTCTCAGAGGGGACAGGGAATCTGGGCTTTTCCAGACCCCAGAGTAATCAACCGCTGTGGTTCTGTCTGCTCTGTTGGCAGGATGGTGGCAGGGAAGGCTGAGCCGGCCATGCCAGGAAGGCTCTATGTCCACCCCGATTCTCCTGCCACTGGGGCCCACTGGATGCGGCAGCTGGTTTCCTTCCAGAAGCTGAAGCTCACAAACAACCACCTGGACCCCTTCGGCCATGTAAGAAAGAAACTGCCTGGCCTTGAGAGCCAGCCCTGGTGCTCTGCTGGGGGTGGGCTGGGTAGGGGTGGAGTTGTGGAGAATCCACTCTTGGGATCCAGCTCCGGGCTTTGGCACGTGCCGGGGCCAGACTGGGGAAGGAGCCCCAGGTCTGAGTCCCACAGCAGTACATCCTTCCCCTCATACTTGCTGCCTGGGTAACTTTGGGCAAGTTTCTTGGCCTTTTTGAGCCTTGGTTTCCCTACCTAAAAACCTTTCGTGGTTGTAAGAATTACCTGAGAGAATATGCAGGAAGCACTGTGCACGTGGGAGGCTTTAAATACATGACAACTAACTATCCACAAGGACAATGATGATGGGTCAAATCACTCCACTTTGGTTTCCCCAAATTTGGCCTTGCTGGAGCCAAACACATGTTCACTTTCTTGGGAAAGAGTCACTGATGAGTTCTGAAGCCTCTCTTTGGCATATGCCTTCTGCCGGGCCTGGCAGCCCCTGCCCTCTGGAAGGGAAGGCCTCACCCTGGCCCCGGTGGCCGCTCCTTCCTGGCCTTGCCTGGGGCCTGGCTCTTACAAGAGAGACTCTGGAGCCCCAGGGATGCTGCCGCTGACACCCCATCCAGGCTGCTGAGGCTCATTCTTTCCCCATCTGGCTCTGGCAGGCCCACAAAAAGCATTTTATGTGGAAATTTTTAGCTCAAGTGTGTGGCAAACTGAAGTCTGGGGACCTGGTATTATCCGCCAGGGCACAGGCCTGGCCCCTCTCTGCTACCCGTCGTTACTCTGGAAGTACAGGGTGGGGTGGGGTGGAGCACGGGGGCCGTAGAGGCTGCCAGATGCGGTTGCCCAGGCTGCACATGTAATCCTCAGGGTGCGGCTGGTGGTAGGGGATGCAGGGGTGAGGAGGGGGTGCAGGGATGTGCCTCTTTTATACCTAAGTTCTATTCCTGAGGAGTTGCATGCACATCAGAATCCTGTGAATCATAGTTCCTCATGGAAAATGCCAGCAATGGGTCATTTCTGATTGATTGGTATATAAGACAAGCAGCCCTTAGTTCTAATTTTCTGAGTCTGTTCCGTTCTCTTCTGAGTTGGTAATCTATAAACAAGCAACTAGGAGAAAGCTTAATGAGTGTAATGAACTCCTGATTTTTCCGTTTTGCAAGGAGCCCAGGTTTTCCCATGTGAGGCAGGCAGGTGCTGGGAGTGTGTGGCAGAAAGGGGCAGACCCAACTTCTCCTGGGGGTGGAGGCAACCACCGATCTAATGGGAAGGGTGAGCCAAGCCCCCACCTCCCAGAGCATGGGGCCTTTTAACCAAGGGACAGAAGGGCCTTCTGGGTCTTACTGGGCACTATCCTGGCCAAGACTTTGCTCCCCGTTGGCTCCTACCTGGCCTCCTCTGCTTGCCCAGGTCATGGCACCAACCTGGAGAGGTTAACGAGGGCCTCTGTGGAGGGAGTTTGGGACTAGCTGGCAGGCACGTCTCTGCACAGGGCAGAGCTTGGCAAGAGCTGGATCTTTGCGTGAGCCAGCCTGGCTTGCCTCTCCGGTGGCTCTCCTGGAGTCCATAAGGGGTTTGCCTTAATCCCGCATATGGTCTTGAGTCTGAGCCGGTGGGGCTGCCTGAGGGGCTCGTGATGCTGGGATTAGCCCTGGCTATACTCACCACGCCTGCCTGGAGCTCACCTCTCCTTGGCCATAGGGATACTCCCTATACTAACTCAGCTCCCTCTGCAGAGGGTTGGGATGCAGAGCATTCCTCCCCCACCCCCACGCCCCCCGCATCTGCCCAGACCCCGTGTGCAGTGGCAGGACCTGGAGAAGAGGTGACTGTCCCAGGGGCTGGGAGTAAAGGAGCCGTCTTGGACCCACACCTGTCCCCAGGCCAGCATTCTTTGAGCTTCTCCACCTGTCTTTCTGTGCCCAGGGCTTGAGCTGTCGGATCTGCAACTATTTGGAGCATCCCTGGAGAGGGAGCAGCTTCTGACCATGCAGGCAAGGGCTGTGGAGGATGGATTCCTAGATAAGCCATGTGGACCAGGGCTTTCTGCTCATTGGCCTGCACTGGCGGGAGTGCTGAGTCCTTCACCACCCTGCCCGGCTTCTCGGTGCAGGAGCCTGGGAAAGAGCCATGTCGGACTATGAGTCTGCCCCCAAACAAGCCCTTCCTTCTGCATTGCTCACCTCCAGTGTTTCAGTTTTCCCTAAAATCTCCTGGACCTCGAGGAACTTTCTCAGCCAAATGAGCTTTGGACTTTTCCCTTGGGTTTCCTAGTATCTCAGGGATTTTAGCTGTTGCCTTTCATTTGCAGCCCTCCCCCAGGAGAAGGGTCCAGGGTCCCAGTGAGGGCTTGGGCTAGGCAGCCGGTCCTATATACAGGGAACAGGGACCCCTTGGACCACATGGCCCACGTGTTCCAGGACCGGGTTCTGCCTAGAAAACTCCTGGTGGGTGTTTGCCGTGGTCCGGGAGGGCCGTCTGTTCCTTCCTGGGGTAGGTTCAGGGTATGACCACTGGTTTCTGGGAGTAAGCCCAAGGCCAGAGGAGGGGCAGAAAGGATCACGGGGGCTGGGCAGGACTGACCTGCTGCCCTAGGGCCCCAATTCAGCTCCACTGCTGTTCCGCTGCCTAGAGATGGGCAGGAGGCCCTTGCCTCCTACTTGTACCCCTCCCACCCCCCACTTCCCCACCCCCCCCAGGGTCCTAGGCCAGGTAACCATGAAACGGTAAGAGAAACCGCTTCGGGAAATTGAGGAGGGCCTCACCGAGGTAGGGCCTGCCTCCCGCAGCAGGACATGGAGATGGCTGGGTCTTACTTTTCTCCTGATCTGGAGGCTGGGAGCCCATGGCTGCAGTGGGGTGGGGTCTGTGTGTTTGTGTGTGTGTCTGTGTGTGAGAAGAGACACCTATTATATCCCAGGACTCCCAGATTGCTGAGCTGGAAGACCAGCTTATGACTTCTGAGATAGTAAGTCTGTCCCAGAGGCTGGGTTGGCTCCAGGCTGGGGGTGTAGGCTGCAGCTCTTTGGTCCCCGAGTGGCACTTGCATTGTCCCTCTGGTGTGCCACCTCTTCCTCTGACGACCCAGTGAGCCTTGGGATCCAAGCTCAAATGCCCCTTCCTCAGGGAGGCACTTCAGGGTCCCCATTATATGCTCCCAGATTGCCATGCACCTTTCTGTCCTAGTACTTAGCGCACTTAGGATTTTATCTATTTAAAGATTCATTTATTTATTTTAGGGGGGAGGGGTGGAGGAGGGGAGAGAGAATCCTCAGCAGACTCCATGATGGGCTCCACCCATGACCCCAAGATCACAACCCAAGCCGAAACCAAGAGTCGGATGCTTAACCAACTGGCCTCCCAGGCGCCCCTAGAATTTTATACTTATAAATCAAATTTGTTTTTGAATAGGAAATATACAGTCCCATGATTTAAAAATAAATCAATGACTAAAAAATGTCTATAATGAACCATTTTTCTCCTCTGGTTCCCCGTCTACCCAGTTTCTTCTGATCCCGGCCACAGCTAACCACTGTTACTAATTTGTTTTTGGTATTTCTTTTTGCATATACAAGCAGAATACAGAATCTCAAATCCTTTCTTTTATCTGCAAAAGGTAGCATACTGTAAACGCTTTTTGCGCCTTGCTTTGTCAACAGTATAACATGGAGACCACGCCCTTCATCTAGAGCTTCCTTTGATTCCTTTCCTTACAGCCACATAGAATTTCATTGCGCGATTGTTCCATAGATCATGTAGGCAGTCCTTATCGCAGAAATGAAGATGCCTATTTTTGCTCTTTCAATTAAACTTGTACCTATATCATTTTACACCTGTGTCAAGTATCTCTGTGTGGTGAGTTGCCTGCTCAAAGGGTGTTCGGATTTGTAATTTGTGGTTTCGCCCTCCATCGGAGTTGTATTGATGGCTACTCCTGCCACCACTGTAGCTTCCCCAGTGGGCGGGAGAGACGTTCTGGGCTTTTCCCAGTCTGACGGGTGAACTATAGATACTGGTTGTAGGTTCAGTTTGTATTTCCTTTATTCTGAGTGAAGTTAAACATCTTTTTTCCTCTTCCGTGAACTGTTGTCCTTACCCTTTGCTCATTTTTCTCACAGATTTTCGAGCACTTATCCATTCTAGGAGCTTGTATAAATGAGGAAGATCTGGCCCGTATATGTGATAGGAACTGCTCGTATGTTTTCCCAGTTTGCCATTTGCCTTGTGACTTTGCCTGTAGTGGTATTCTCACACAGAAGTTTTTGACTGAATATATTGCTCTTTTCCTTATGGATTCTGGGTTTTGAGTAACTGAAAGCCCTTACCCACTCCTTACTTCGAAGGAAAATTTCTTGGGGTGCCTGGGTGGCTCAGGTGATGATCCCAGGGCCCTGGGATCGAGTCCCGCATCGGGCTCCTTGCTCAGCGGGAAGGCTGTTTCTCCTTCTCCCACTCTCCCTGCTTGTGTTCCCTCTCTCGCTGTCTCTCTGTCAAATAAATAAGTAAAATCTTAAAAAAAAAAAAAAAAAGGAGGAAAATTTCTTGTGTTTTCTTGTAGTATTTTATGGATTTATTTTTACATTTAAACCATTAGTCTTTCTGGAATTTATTCTGGCATTCAATAGGAGGTGTGAATCCAACTTTTTTTTTTTTTTCTAAAGAGCTATCCAATTGTCCTCACACCAATAATTGACTGGTTCTCTTTACCCCCCTGGCTTCGGATGCCTCATTTCTGTACACCAAATCCCCATATGAATTTGTGTCTGTTCATGTGCCAGTGCCTTTGCTGTTGAGACTTCATGATGGGCTTTAGTGTCTGGCAGGGCTGGTCCCCCCTCGCTCTTCTTTTGCGGAGTTTTCTTGGCTTGTCTTATCTGTTTTTTCATATGAACTTCAGAATCAGTGGATAGTATTGAAAAAGAAACTTATTTGTATTTTTATGACAATCGCTTGAAATTATAAATTGACTTCGGGAGGGAAGGATAGGAATGCCTCTCT